TCTCAATCAAAAGTTTTTTTACTTGAACTGAGGTAAACATCATTTTTATATTTAAGAAAATGGAAAATAAATCCAAACTTTCTTGAATAATTATCGATGAAAATCAATATATACCTGCCATCACCCTTAGACGGAATACGAGATAGACCCCATAAATCTGAATGAATATAATCAAGTGTACTTTTCATCTTATGAATTACTGGTAAATTGAAACTAACTTTTTTCTGCTTCCCAAAGATAAAATATTCACAGAATTTCAATGGCCCAATACTCTAACCGCAAATAAGTCTCCTTTTACTTAGTATGTCCAAATTTTTCTCGCTCATATATCCCAAATACATATGCTATAATTTGATAATATTAGAATTAGATAAAAATGATGACGAAACTGCAACCGAACTTGTGACAGTAGATCCTTACAAAAAAAATAAACTACCAGACCTGCAAGTTTTCATAACAACAAGAACACTTTTAAAAACCTTCATAACATCATTTTCAATTGTGTATTTGCATTCAGGAGCCTCCAAAGTGTCCAAAGAGATGAGATTCTTTTTCAAATCCAGAACATGTCTAGCATTAATGAGCGCCCTCATAATACCATTATACATTTTAATTTGCATTGTACCCTTACCAATAACATCACAAATGACATTATTGCCTATCAAAATAATTCTACCATTACAAGGTTCATAAGTGGAAAACAAATCTCTATTGAGACACATGTGATAAGAGCACTCAGAATCTAATATTCATTCATGTTTAGACCTTGTCCTTTCATCAATCACGAAGAAAATATTTCCTTCACTCTTATTAGTTGCAACACGAGTTTCAGCAGTTTTAGTATTTTTCTCATCAGATTTCCCCTTTTGCTTTAATTTTTTTTAATTTAAAGCAATTTACCTTAATGTGCCACATTTTATGATAATAATTGCACTCCAAATTTTTATGTTTAGATTTAGATCTATGACTGTCAAATTCTTTTTTTTTATTCTGCTCCTAACAACAAGACCTTCCACCTGACCTCCATTAATTTTTTCAATAATATTCCTGTCTATCTACTTCTAAGATTTTAATGCAGACTAAATTTTTTATACCAAATTATTTCTTTTCTGTAAATTTTAGTATTGTGAAAATATTTAAAGAACTGGGAAAGGGAACACAAAAGTAAAAGGGCCTGATCCTCATCATCAATTTTTGAATTTATATTTTCAAATCCATAATAATTGAATTAAATTTGTCAGGATGTGAGAGAATAGATTTACCTTCAGTCATACAAAGCATATACAGACTTTATTTTAAATACAGTCTATTCTCAATTGTCTTCCTCATATACAAAGTTTGAAACTTGTCCTACATGACCTTTGTCAAAATCTCAGTGACTACCTCCTGTAAAATCTCGTCAGAGAAATTTAAGATAATATTGGACCAAGCCTTCTTATTCATCTTAGCAAAATATACATCTGTCACACTCTTTGTATTGCTAAATCAACTTCGTTTTGAATCAAAATAGCGTACATCTTGAGCTGCCATATCCCAAAATTGACATTCCTGTCAAATTTCTCAGCAACAGTCTTTGTTATTGTCATTGTTGACACAAAACTCAAAACTTTCAAAGAAACTCTGATACCAGTTTGTTAAGCCTGACCCCTAGAAATTGACAAAAGTGTTTTTGACAATCTCAAAAGACAAATAACAAAGTAGAAATAAATACAATAGAAACATAGAAATTTATTTGTTTCGATCAAATTAACCTACGTCCACAAGCGGAGGAGGAACAAAATTTTACTATGAAGAAGAGAGTACAAAAATGTTTTAGAAAAGTGTTTCTAGGCCCAAAATACTTAATACTTAAAACACAAGAGAGTCTAAAACATTTTACTTAATAAAAGATTTAATGACCCAAAGACTCAAGTAATCCACTAAAACTTTCTTGGTTTGGTGCACTTAATCCTATCACAGGCCCACTCTACTTATAGGCAACTAAGGAAAAAAACTCATTTACAAAAAATGATGAGGGACAAAGCCACACATAACAGCAGTCAATTATTGTCGATACTTCATGGTCCATAACTTAGTGCTGAATATTGATTTGAGAAAAGGGCAATTAACAGGCTTTTCAGTTTTCAATGTTTAAACAGTCAGAACAGTTCACTCTTTTTTTTGTAAAATTACCAAGCACCGATTGTGATTTTGCATGTTGTTACATGATTCCTACTAAATCTAGGATTTCATGTAAAGTGATGGTTTTGCATGTCTACATGATTTTTTTATGATTTTATGCAAAGTGGTCAGAACCTTATTTTGTTTAGTACTTTGACTAAGTAAATACTGGCATTTCAATTAATACATTACGAATATATATCCACATGATTTTTCTATGATTTTATGCAAAGTGATCAGATCCTTATTCTGTCTAGTACTTTGAGTAGGTTAACACTGGCATTTCAACTAACACATTACGTAGATTTATTCCAAATTCAATGAATATTATACTTCATTTTATCTTATTCAAATTCATATAAAAATTGTAAAATTGAACAACTAACAAGTCACAAAAGAGAGCACTTAAAACATTCATGCAACTAACAAATATGCAAACAATTTAATTTTAATTGAAATGAGAGTTCATGTCACCCAAGCCCAAGCAAACAACAAAAGATTTTCTTATATTTCACCTATAATCAACTAACTAATTTTCATATCATACTTAGATTTTTTTTCTTCTAAGACAAAAGGGGAAAAAATTCATGGATTAATTTAAATGTATCCATATTAAACATGCCATTATAAAATTAGTAGGAAAAAGGAATAGTTCTTATTTGTGCTTTATGCTGCATTGTCTTCAAATAAAATTATAAAAGCAATAGAAGAAAAATGAAAAAGAGAATACTTAACCACCTTTGTCAATAAAATCTTAATTGATGATAATGAACATTTACATAGAAATAATTAAATATAATGGATAAAAATTCCCTTGTGGATTACATAATTACAGAGAGTTTATATACTAAAAGTTTGTACATAAACAAATTAAAAAGTGGTACCAAAAAAATTAAAATAATAGTGCAGCTAACTTCATACTAAAGGACGTCATCAAAAAGCTACCTCATTCAACTCATATTACATGATAAAAAATAATTGTCCTCTCTACAAATAATTAGGTTTTATATGAAATTAAAATTATGGAAAACCTGAATCAAAAGAAAAAAGAAATACCATTCACATACTTTATTCTTAAAAAATTAACCGATTGTAATTTTACAATGAAATAGTCAGCATTGACAAGTGTTGATATTGCAAATACTATTCATGAAGTGATTAATAATTTAGCCAAACCTTAGTTTTTAATTATTAAAATCTAATAATTTTACTAGAAAGTACATCACATATTTTATTTTCAATAGGAAGAAAGACATATCTCAACCCCAATAGATAAATGAGCATGCAAAGTCATGGGGGGAGGAAAGTAGATGCATAGTACAATAATCGAAATGATAAAGATCTAACAAGTCAATTTATGCTGTATTCTAATGCCCCTTTTAAAATTTTAGTAGCACTTGCAAATTAGAATTGTCTCTCATATGAATACTTGATGTGTGCATATATATTTTCTTCTCAAAAACATTATTTTGAACTGTGCAAAAAAGTACAATTTATAATTTAAGGGGGTAATCACAACACCTTTGGTAAAACATGATAATATTAACAATTGTTACAAAGTTCAATCCAAATTTTAGTAGCTACAAAAATATCATATTTAGGTTATTATACTTACATGCAAAGTATGTGTATTATTTTCCTTTATGCATGTGAATATTTTTTTTTTCAAGTAAAATTTTTAACATATTAAGTTTTTGTGTAAAAATTTGACTATTGGCATAAAATAAATTAAGATACTATATATTGAACAAAATTAAGTAATTGGTAAAATGTTTATTGTGTACAAAACAATTAAAAGTTTATTGTACATTTTATAGTTATAAAATCTCTGAAGGTGGTAGATTATCATATTTAAGCTAAGTTGTTAATATAATATTGACTAAGAAACCATATAAACAAAATTAAGCAATTGCTAGTTGTAAAAATTTTTTATTTTATACAAAGCAATTAAAAGTTTATTAAACTTTGAAGATGGAAGATTATCATATCTAAACTAAATTGTTACATATTTTATTTGGATTGCAACAATAAGAAGAGGAAATTTTCTATGTTCTATCAAACCAGTGTATACAACAAAACCTGACCAAATAAATACTAAAACATTATGATTTGGATACAACAAATTTTTATCAATTTCAGTAGTTGTAAGCCTTTTTGTTATATATTTTTATAATTATCAATAATTTTTTTGAAGTTTTCTTATTGAATATCGCATAATATAGTGAATTTAATCATCAATTTAACCTTTTGTTTTCTCATTAATTGTTTATAACCTTTTGTCTTCTTCTTAATTGTAACTTTCTTCTAAACCAATTCGTATATAAAATAGTTAGCTTTAATTATCACGCATAAGAATATACTAATTGCAAATAATTTTAACACATACAATAATTTGAGATGACGAAAATGATTGGTGAATATAGTTATAAGTGGATAGTTTTTAATTTTAATTACTAACATTTTTGAGATGTAATTTATTAAAACTTTTCATTTTTTAAGTTGACTTTGCAATGCACTTGATGCAAGTTACTTCAATAGAAGGGAGCTGAGCTTTCTTGTTTGCGCCTATTTTTCTTTTGGTAAAATTCTTTAAAGAAAGTGATTTGTTAAATATTTTAAAAGGAAAATTCGTTCTTTAAAGGCTTTGAGAACTGCTGCACAAATTGATTATCAAATTTAGAATAGCATATTGACCTTTGACAGATGCAAAGGCATTGGCTTCCCAAGAACTTTTAGTCGAATTTAGAAGATTTTGAGTTTTTTTTTTCTATTATTAAGATCCTGAGTTAGTCAATTTATTGCTAATTGGTTTTCAAGATGAATATCAAAATTCTTTATGGTGGTATTCGAGTTAGATTTCAGCTTTTATTCATGAACATGTTAATTGTTACATTCTTCATTGGGTTTTCCCCATATGAAATTCATCTAAATCAATAGATGACATGCAAAAGTTCTTCACAAACTTGCTCAAACTTTTTCAGTCTGCACGAAATTGGCATGACTAAGCAAGGAAGTGCTTAAGATTCTTGCCCTCTATAGCAAAGGCAATTACGAATTAGGTAATACACATAGTCGAATATCAGATATGATGTTTCCATGAGCACAAGGGCCAGCAGACAATAGATAAAGAAGACCACCACGAGGAGCCTGTAGTCGGTAATCACGACTTTCTGCACTATTAATGCTTGTCCAGCTGCTACGATTGTGAAGACCGTGGAGTAGAAGATGGAAATTATGTTCGTCACAATGTAGCAGGGCAGGGAAATATAAAAATCCTCAGTTGTAAATCGCAAAAAGATGATCACAAGCACAGTCCCCATGGTGAACAGAGAGGAGAACAGCCCTCCAGCTAAGTAGAACATCAACAAGCCGAATTCCCAGCGCCGGTTCTTGAGAAAAATGGCCTCTCCAGTCGTTTGATCGAAACCTCCGGGTACGGTAAAAATTGCAGCAAAGTTTATGGTACCAATGAGGACAGACACAATCAACACACTGTTGGACAATGCTCTCACAGTTTCCTCAGCCTTTTCGCGTAGACGTGCATGGTTCGTCTCGAATACTTGTTTTGCTGTCGTCCCATCAGAATTTTGCAGTTGCCAGAGATGTGGAAAAGAGTCATATTGCACCCGCTGTTGAGCCAAAGATCAATCATAAGTTGCAAATAGTCCGGAAAAGAATATTAAACAATATACAACAGGCAATGCAATACAGGTATTAATTTAATTTGGTACCTTAAACCAGAGGGCTTCCCACATCATTTGGTGAAAAACTCCAGGGGGAACGCTGGGAGGGGATTCCAGGAGTGCTGCGAGATGTATAATGCTATTTCCTTCGTGATCAATAGCGCTTAGCATTCTGTCCCTGTCAGTACCACTAGTCATCAAGTGGTCGTACAAGAACCATTTTTTCTCCTCCACTGCAATTTGCAGTATATTCCTTCCTTTTCCATCGAAGGTATACACAGCTTCAGGGTAGACGCTGAGGATTTCCTGAACTACCTCAATGATGCCGAGTCTCGTTGCTTGTATTAGTGGATCTGGCATACTATTTTTCTTTTCTGATGATATCCCAAACTGGCTGCCTTCATGATCTTTGGCCCCTGTATGCACATAGTGGCTCCAATCTTCTCTTCTGATTAACCTTTCTGCAAGCATTAGTGCAACTGCATGGCTTTGCTTTGCATCATCAATTTCTTTAAGCCAAGGAAAACCTAGAGGGCAAATATATCAAATTGGATAAACCATTAATGACTAACTCCAATGTGGGAGGATTTGGTCAGGGAGATGCAGAAATAGTACTTCGAGATCCAATACATGTCCTAGGCTTTTTGCTCTTCTTAGCATCTATTATTTTGGCACAAATCTATTCGGTTCTTGAAAAGAAACAGTTTGAGGAGGTTCAATTGGCCGAAATGAATTCCTAGACTTGCAATTGCTTGTTTATACATTTTTTCTACAGCTTGCCGACAGATAAAAGATATGTGAAGTAAAAGGAAATTGAAGAGAGCTTGAAAACAAAATTCTTACATTGCTTAGGCATGAAAAAGAAACTAATTTACTCGAAGGAAATAAGACGTTCTTGACACTACGAAGGTAGGCTAGACAACACTATGCTTCAACTCTCAAAAGAAGAATTTGGGAAAACAAAATTTTAACAGTATATTCTATCATCACTAGCATGAATGCATATGAAGTAGATACAAGAAGATGCTTTACCCAAGATAAAATTGGCAAAAGAAGATCTGTTCAATTTATGAATAGAAGCAGAATTGCTTGGTTCTTCTACACTGTTGACAGGTTGTGATTCCTTGTACAGGACCGCAATACCTGCCAGCAACACAATGAACTGATAGTATCACTCTTTCAAGATTTTGAGGGCATCCTCAAAAAAATGGTAGTTCAAATTGCTTCTCCATGGATCCCGAACCCATTAAACACTAAATTAGATGATTTTTAGCAAGGTCTCCAGGCTAAGCACAAATTCATGTCACCTGAACATACTACAAGAGGGGAATAATCATATGCTTGATATATAGGATCTGCATTGACTTCAAAACCATATCACATTCAGCCCAATGATTATTGTCAATTTGCCTAATCAACTATGCGGGTAGAGTACTTAAGGACTTGAAAAGAATTATGTTGCAACTTGCATGTGGGTAATAATACAGCACTTACACCAATAGATTATAGCTCGGAGTATATGCAGAGGAATGAGGGACTTCCTCCCAAGATCGTTGAGCGTGTAGGCAGAACCACTCCTGAAGGACTCTGGTTTTGCAGCCAAAAGATGTAAAGCAGTTTTTCCTTTTTCATTACGTTTGCCAGCAAGATCAGGATACGACTCCAATATGCCAATTGCCAAACCTGTTTGATACAATAGAGCGAAAACTTGAAAAGGACTAACATTTAATGCAACAACATCCCACATCATATTCCACCAGCATAGACCTAGACAAAAGATAAGATAGCATAATCTGATAAACTGAACAAGCATAGAGTTCAAATTCAGCAACAAACTTGATTACTTTTGCAGAGACAATCAAAATTTTACTTGATAGAGAAGCTTACTGTAATATCCTCCAATTACAGCAGCATGAAGGATTGTGCATCCATCATTCCTCCTCATCATGCAATCACCGATGTACTTTTCCAGAAGTGAGAAAACTTCCTTTTTCCCACATGCAGCAGCCACAAAAAGAGGGGTTTCACCCAGTTTGTTTCTCTCAGACACTAAATCCTTTTCTGTCCTTAACATGATCTCTGCAACATCCTTGTGGCCAAATCTTGCAGCTTCATGCAATGCAGTGTGGCCATTGACATTCTTTGCCTTCAGATTTTCAATTGTCACAAGACCATCCTGGAGAAGTAATCTGAAGGCATCCACATTGATACTGCGAAAGGTTTCTACTGACTGTTTCTTTCCCTCTAATACTGCTCTATAAGCAGCAGATCGGTTGCTCCTATCCTCGTTGATTCTTGAGCTTGCCATTTTTGGATAGGCACAGAAAAAAATTCTTATGAGAGTGCTGTATCAAGTAAATCATCCATATACCGCATCAGAATTTCGTGTATGCGAAATGCCAAAGTGGTAATGTGCCACTCAACAAAAGAAAAGCTGGGAGGAAATAACAAGCAAGGAATTGCTGTAGTGCCAAAGGTGGACATTAAAAAACACTAAAGGAAGCCACTGAACATTTGCCCCTATAAAATGGTTTAAAAGCATGAACATTTGCCCCTCCAAAATGTGCTAAAGGAAGCTGCTTTTACTGTATTGACCAAGGAAAGAACAATGCCAAGAATAAACCTAAATTGTGCCCCCCCCCCCCAACATCCCTCCCTCCCTCCCTCCCTCCTCCGACTAAAATTTGGTTTCATATTTTTGTTTCATTTTTACCCACTGACTAACGATCAACACTAACGATTGAGCAAAAAAGGTATTGATGACTTCAAAATAATAATTAGTGAAAACAATGTTGGAGAATATCCTTTTTTTTTTTTTGTCTCGGGAGGATGTCCGTACTCCTTACAAATGGAATCCAACCACTTGAGAAAATCACATGCTCTTGAAATATATTCTATAATCTAAAATCAATCATTTCATGCATAAAAAAGTCATAAAATAATTGGCAAAAAAAAGAATACCATCAAGTTTTACAACAAAATTTTCTATTGAAATATTCAAATTTGCATGATATGTGTAAAAGAGATATCTTACGAAAAGTTGTGTCGTACCTCCATTTAATGATTTCACAATTTTAGAAAGAATATTTTTAACAATAGCAAAGTTTTGAATTTACTTAATATGATTAGATTTTTTTTTGGGAACTCAATTCTTGATTTCTAAAACAAATGAATATCATTAGAAATGGGTGATATGAAAAACTTGGGCACGAAAAAGAAGAATAGAGGAAAATGGAGATAAGGTGAAATTGAAACTTTATAGAGTTTATCTGTAAAAGTTAGTGTGACTTAATAACAGGAGGCAAAGTCCAACAAAAATAATTCCAGGGAGGAAAAAATCCAATGAGGCACCAATGAAAGAGTAAACTTAAAGGAGGTGCAAGTAACTTTAATGGCGCAATAGTTTGTTACATAAAATGAGTTTCGACACTTTCACAATTAAATTAACTCATGTTATCATCCAAATCTTTTTTTCTTTAGTTTTTTCTAGTAGGGAGTGAAATCCAAAAAGCAGGGAGCCAAGACCTTTAAGTCCTGTAAATTTAACTTCAACCACTAGACCAAAACCTTTTAATCATCTTTATCTTACTTATTAATACTTACCAAATATTTCATTAACTGCAAAGAATGAATGCAGTTCATATTATTTAATCAATATATACCAAAGATAAAATTATGCCCCTATATTTAAAAGGCATTTTTTCTTATCCACCAACATTTTCAAAATTGTAATAGCTAGGTTCAAAATTTCAAATTCATCCACTTTTTGCTTGAAAAAATTCACATATGTATCATGTTTTATAAAATTTGTACTAAAAGTGAAAATATGTATGTTTTCATTTTTTTTCAACAAAAGCAAGAGGGGGTGCATGCAGATCTTATTGAGAAATTAGAACAAAAACTAAAAGAAGTATATTTGACATTGGGATAAAATGTCTAGCATGCGAGGGACAAAGAAAGCAAATCTGAGGACTATTTTTGCAGTTTGTTCTTTATGAATTTATTACTGATTTCCAAAATGAGAAGCCGGTCCAAAAAATCAATTGAGAGGCCCTTTGCTAAGGTAGCCCATTAATGAGCATGCAATGATTAAGTATGAACAGCTGTGAATGTTTGTTAATCCAACTACAAATGATCATAAATAATTCGTGGGTCGTGGTACAATCTTGCTGCCAAATTGCCATCTCCACAACTGATATTTGCTTCTTTCCCCTGCAAGCCTGTCTAGAATTCTGTTGTCTCATCATCAAAACCGTTCAATTTTTCTTCCCAAAAACGGGGCTGTCGCTCTTATATCCTTGATGAAACTTCACCCGAAACTCCTACTGCTTTGGTTGCACTATGCAGAGTAGAACGTTGAAGTGATTTGCTAGGCTTTGAAGTTTTTTACTGTTGTAGAGGCTATGAACCTTTCGTTGACGAAATTTTGGCGCCCGGAAAAATTCCACGTACAACAAGCCATAGTCAATTATGGCCAATACTCCATAACTTAGTGTTGAAAAATGAACATTGATTTGAGAAAAGGTCAACTCACAGTTTTTCAGTTTTCATTATTAAACAGTCAAAATCGTTCACTCTTTTTTTTTTAAAGTAAATTACTATGAACCTTTTGCATATTCTCACTTGACTCTCATAAATTTATGCTTTCATGTAAACTAAAAAATGGATGAAAAACACCTCTAATTAGTGCATTTTATAAACGCGTGGGGTAAAATTAGAATATTCACTTAACTCCTCACAATTTTGCATATATCAACATGATTTTTCTATGACCATATGCAAAGCGATTAGACCCATATTCTTTTTTGTCCTTAAGTAAGGTAATGCTGACATTTCAACTGACGATATTAGATATATTTATTTCCATTAAATATCCACTCTACATAAAATCATAGGAAAATATATGGATGTTTTAAAATTTTTAGGGGTCATGAAATAATGTGCAAAACCACTAGTGATTTACCCTTTTTTGCAGTTGACTTTACATTGCACTTTTTGCAAGTTAATCAATAAAATGGAGTTGAGCTTTCTTGTTTACTTTTTTTCTTTTTTGTCAAATTCTTTAAAGAAAGTGATTCTTGAGCACATTGGCGGAGCTATATACATTTGAGGGTAGGCAATTGCCCTCCCTCTCAAATTTTAAAATTCTCTTTTATATCTTAAAACTATTATCCATTGCATTTTAATCTTGTTAGTTTAATAATTTGCACCTCTTCAAATTACAAAACTTGTATATTGCATACCCTCAAATAAGATAATAGGGGGTACTTATTAAATTTAAATTAATCATATATAATAAGAAACAAGTGAAGTAAAATCCAAAAATAAGAAACAAGATAATACATGTATAAATAGTCAAATAATACCATATTAGATTGAGAATAATATGGAAGGGATAGCCAATTGCATTTAATATGTTTAAAAGAGAAAAGAGCTAATTATGGGGAAAGAAGAACAAAGAAAAATACACTTAGAACATTTCTTTTTTTTTTTTTGCTTTATTAAATTTGAATTACATTATACCATTACTTTTTTATTTGGTTGATTTAACGACTCACTCTTGGATGATTTGTGATTCTGTAGCTTATTTTGGATATTGAATGCATTGCAATTTAATACTCCTTAATTATGCATATAATTTTGTGAAACACTAGTAGTTTATTCAACTAACTAATAAAATGAGTGAAAATGTTAATTCTAATTTTTGCTTTTTAGGGAATACATATAAGAGAATTTCACTAGATAACTTTGGATAGTTTGACAAATTTATTGGCCGCACTAGATTTCTTAAGGTTAGTCATTTTATGCTAACTATCAATTAGTAATACAATACATTACATATTATATAAGATATTAGACATTTTTGCATTTTGTAGTTGCTCATACCACCAAAATAATTGTTTTGAACCCTAACAACTCCAACTACCTCTAACATAGTTAATTCTCAATCCCACTATTATATTGCCCAACAGTAGATGGTTGTCCCCACTAGTTTTAGGTCTTGGTTCTACCACTGCTTGAACATGTTTATTCAATATTTTAAATGGAAAAATTGTTCTTTATGGGCTTTGAGAACTTCTTCACAAATTGATTTCCAAATTTAGAATAACATAACAGTAAACTTTAAAACATCTTGGGTTAAGTCAGATGATAAGGCATTGGATCTTGAATTTTTTTCAATGGTTTTCCAAACAAGATCCTGAGTTAGTCAATTTATTGCTAATTGGTTTTGAAAATGCATATCAAATTCTTTATGGTGGTATTTCTTGCTGGATTTTAGCTTTTACTCATGTACATGTTTATTGTTACACTCTTGACTTGGTTTTTTTACTTTCTCTTGACTCAATTTTTACACCATAGGTTTTAAATATTTTGGAGCTTTGACCATCCATACCTCAAACCCCGTCTTAACTAATATTTTACGAATCTAATTCGATTTCAAGGTCTCTCATCAATATCAAACCAAGCATGACAGAAGATATTAAGAGACAATTTGAGGTTTCCCAAATATTTCCACCCAAATTAATTTGAAAATCCTGTTTCATATGCCAACTTCAGTTTTGGTCGCTCTCATTAAAAGAGGAGTTGTTATGAGACAACACATATCATAGAAGTTTCTTAAGGAATTCTAATCAAATTATTTAGATCAACTCGATCAATACCAATTGAGATGGAAATTCAAGTTCTTTATCAATTGAAAAATTAAACACCAAATCCAATTGAACGAATAGGGACATCAGCCAAGTAATTTTGAGGTCCCTTTTCAACTTTTAAGGCCACCTATTTCCCCTCTTCCCTTGAAGGCTTAGATTCTAACTTGCACCCCAGCATGCTAGAGTTTAATTACACAACATCTTGAATTTGGATAGCTGAATCTACAACAGACTAATGAATAATACACCTCAATTTTCTCCAGTGTATCGATGCTTCAAAAGTTAGAGGGAATTTGTGATACTCAAGTGTCTTGGGATACTATTTTGTGGTGAAAAGTGAAAGATGTAAAGTTGAGTGACCAATGTGTTAATAAGTGAAATTTTGAAAGAATAAAAGTGACATTGGGATTTCACTATTCATCTTTACCAAAATTTTCTTCATCCTTTTCATTTCCTTTCTTCCTTTCTTCTCCAACAAAATCCTTTCTTATTTCTCTCCTTTTTCCTTACAATCAAGGAGGATTCTTGACAAATCAAGCACAAGCAAGGAGTGAGGATTTAGGAGATTCTACTTTGACAACTAATCAAGGTATTTTCTTGAAATCTTGAACATGATCTTGGTTTTTCTTTGATTGGGTAATTGGGTGGTATTGGTTCAAATCCTTGATTAGCTTCCATAGCTATGGTGTATAGAGTTTGTTTTGGTCCCTATTTTCATATGGATATAGGGCTATCATCAATATAAAAAGGAGAAATATTGAGGGAAAGAATGACTTGAGCAA